AGACGGAACTTTACTGTCAAAAATACGTCATCACTTCACAGACATTATCCATCGAGCAGAAGAAACATCGATCAAGATCAAGACTGCGCATGCTCAAGTTTGTAGCAGAGGGTAAAAACAGTAATGGCACAAGAAGCTACAACAGCGACCAACAATTGTGTTAATTAAAATCTATTGTAAAAATGTCTTGAATTCGGGAACCGAACGCTGCTGTATAATATTGTTTAGAAACACCTCCTACCAACGGGAAATTGCACCTATATGTTAGATAACATAGTGGAGCCAGTTGGCTAACATCCGACGTAACGTTATCCCAGGGCTAATTAGCAAATATCAGGTTCTCTGTATGTTTAGATTAAAACATTCACGGCTCCAGCCACAGCGAGCATCAGCCAGTCTTCACTTCAGCATCACCCTTAGTGATGCAATATTACTGAAAAGAGCCTAGATAACAGTATATCTATATCTGCATGCATTTCATTTCTACTCTATTGTCAAATCCTGTAAAACAAAAGCACAAGAGAAGCTTGAGGTCCAGCAATAAATATTCTCACAACCAAACACTGCACAAACCATTCTGTGCAATACTTTCAATGTGCGGTGAATACAGGATTACACAATATAAACACCGAAGTTGCGAAGGCTAAAAACAGCTAACAAGTGGAATGCTCCATTGCGGCGTCCAGATACTCTCCGATAAGGATTTCCTACAATTCAAAACTTATCACAGGCATTTCCAAGGCAAGCTAATGTAACAAATACTCTTTCAGCAGCACACTTTAATGGGCTTCTGTTTAATGTTGGATTGTACATATACTGCAGTAATATGGCAACTTAATCCTCTGAGTATTTTTACAACTCAAACACTTGGACAAGTCTCTAATTTGAATCAGTAAATGTTGTGGTTGTGTAAGGGGTTCAGCGTGACAAAGGATTGTGTTGTGTTGAGAGTCATAAAGAAGTGTTTATGAACGATTGCAGGAATGAAAAAGCACGTTGGCAGACAGATAAACACTTCTAATCTAGATTTTTATAGTACAGTATTTGCTTTGGTACTATGGAAGACCAACTACAATTTGTATCTCAATATATGTATTTTTAAATCTCTGGACACCAATATTCAGATGATCATTTTGCAATCCAAAGAAATTGCTAAAATGGTTAAAGTTTGAAAATCATACAAAAAGTAATATACACAGAAATTATAAAATTATTATGCTTATTAAAGCATTGTTTATCACATGTAAATTGAGTCAAACTTCTGGACAGAAATGTTATAAAACTATAGTTTATATTTACAACAGGTATTATTCTACCAACAGAAATGACAGAATTGTCAAAATCTCATACACACTTTAATTTAATCAGTTTTTGTCCTCAATATTCAACTCTTTCAACACATTTTTTCCGACAATATCTGGCCTTCCACTTGTATTCACCATTAAAAGAGACTTCGCTGCAGTCTTGTGTAGTCTTGGCTTGCGGGCGCTCAGTGCTTTGGAGAGTCACCTGCTGTTGAACTCCAGGATTCATATAATGGGTTTTGACAGCGAGGCTCTCAGACTGTGATCTGTCTCACCTCAGGACCCTGACGTAACACAGCTCACCCAGTAGACCCAAACAACACCTCATATTAGAACAATACAAGGAGCTGTTTCGTCCTGGTTTAGTCCTGGTTTAGACCTGGTTTAGTCCTGGTTTAGTTCTGGTTTGTTCTATCCACCTCCTGACATAACAGACCAGACCATGCAGAGACCCCACACACCACTTCAGTTTATCACAACACAAGGATCTGTTTAGTCTTGGTTTATTCCTGGTTTAGTTCTGGTTTAGTCCTGATTTTAGACCTGGTTTAGGACATATCATGCATTGCACTGGTGGTTTCGACAAATATGTAGGCTGGTAAATGCAGACATTTTCTGAGCAATCAAGCCTTGATTACGGCACAATGCAGTTAATGATGAGGGAACACTGTTACAGCAATGTAAAGGGCTTACTTAAGTCAATGTTGCATAATATGTCCCCTATAAAGGCACACTGTGGACTTTTCTGATATCTAATAATATGCATTGTCACTGTGAGTAGTGTGGCCTCTCCACAGATCTGACCTTCTCTACATGGATATACTTTACTGTAGATAATTGAATACCATACTGTGGGACATTCCAGGCAAAGCAATAAAATCGCCATGGAGACAGCAGGGGGCAGACCCTTAAGCCAGGCATGCTCTGTGTGATTTTTGGCACTTTTTGAGCCGATTTTCACTTGTGCGACTGTTTTGGGGACCGGGACGAGATTTGGCGTGTCATGCTTCGTGAAGTATACATGGGGTAACGAGAACTGATTAATATCTCACGGCCAGCTCCAGACCGGCAATCGTAGGTGACAAGAATACCAATTCGTTTCTCATCAGGGTTTTGCACTGTTGAAGCAGTTCATATAGTGTGAGAACATGAATCATGAGCTGTGAACTTTTAAACCCTGCGATTTGGTCATACAGTTTGAGGTGTGGCTGAGTGAAACCATTGAAATGATCACACAGTGTACGCCTTTACAGTTACAGTTGCACTTTTAATCACGCTAAAATACAATGAAATGAAGAAATTTGTAGACGAAATAAGATAATTCTGTTAAGATTTTAAAAAATCAGAACAGAACTTTCAAACATTATCCATCTATATATAACCAACATAAATACTTTCCTGGACCCTCCCTTTGAATCTCACACTATAGGTTCATAAATAATAAGTTTATGCGATCACACCATATTAAGAATTCAATCAACTTTTCAATTAACATGCAAACACCAAAGCCCCCTCATCAAACTTTACTTAAATGATATCTATAGCCACAGTCACGGATCACAAATGCCAGCCAAATGTCACCGAGGTTGTAGAGCAAGTATAAGCGCGCAGAAATCATTAACTGTGCAATATTGGAACGAAGAACAGTGGTTTTCATTCAAGGCTTCAGTGAATAGAGAAGACAGGGAGGGCCATAGCAGCATTTGTGTAAGACTTTTTTCATTATTCACTCGTCACATCATTGTATAGTGAGGAAGATTGCAGAGAGGAGCCCAAAGCAAACATGCCGCTGTCCTGGAAACCAACGCAAAACCAAAATCTGCGACCAGCCAAAAGTTCTTGACTCCAACTCTTCAGGGCCAACAGAATTAACTAGATTTCACAGCAGATTCAGACATACTGGAAATGCAGAGAGGATTATGTATCTTGTAACTTCAGCAATGTACAAGTAAGCAGAAGTGGTTTTCAAAGTGTGGTTAGAGTACAAGTTGCGGTGCATGCGAAGTTCCATGTCGATATAATTTCTGTTTTGGTTTGGTTCTGGTTTAGTCTTGGTTAAATCCTGGTTAAGTCTTGGTTTAAGCTGATTAACTCCTGTAAGTCTATATATTAATTTGGTCTCAGTTTAGTCTTGGTTTTAGTTCTTGTGTAGTTCTTTTTAAATCCTGTTTTAGTCCTGTGTTAGTCCTCTAGATGCAGTAGTTCTATTTTGGTTTAGTCCTGGTTAAGTTCTGGTTTGGTCTTGGTTTAGTCACATGATCCACATAGTCCTGTTTTAGTCCATTAATTTTTTATCTGTTTACGTTTGGTTTGGTTCTGGTTTGGTCCTGGTTAAGTCTGGGTTCAGTCCTGGTTTAATCCTGGTTTAGTTCTGGTTAAATCCTGTATCAGCCCTGGTTTAGTCTAAGTTCTGATCGACAGCTGATTTAGTCTTGCTTTAGTTCTGAGTTAGTCTCATAAATCCATAATTTCTATCTTGGTTTAGTTCTTGTTCAGTCCTGGCTTAGTCTTGGTTCAGTCTTGGTTAAGTCTTGGCTTAGTCTTGGTTCAGTCTTGATTTAATCCTGGTTTAGTTCTGGTTAAGTCTTGGTTCAGCCCAGGTTTCGTTTTAGTTCTGATTGATAGCTGATTTAGTCCTGCTTTAGTTCGGAGCTAGTCTTATAAGTCCATAATTTCTGTCTTGGTTTAGTTCTTGTTCAGTCCTGGTTAAGTCCTGGTTAAGTCTTGGTTTAGTCTTAGTTCAGTCCTGATTTAATCCTGGTTTAGTTCTGTTTAAGTTCTGTTTATGCCCTGGTTTAATTTTAGTTCTGATCGACAAGCTGATTTAGTCTTGCTTTATTTCTGAGTTATTCTCATAAATTCATAATTTCGGTCTTGGTTTAGCCCTTTTTTAGCCCTGGTTTAGTCCTGGATTAACCCTGGTTTAGCCCTGGTTTTGTCCTGGTTTAGTCCTGGTTTAGTCCTGGTTTAGTCATATGATCTGCATAGTCCTGATTTAGTTCTGTTTAAGTGCTGTTTTAGTTATAGTTCTGATCGACAGCTGCTTTAGTTCTGCGTTAGTCTCATTAATCCATAATTTCTGTCTTGGTTTAGTTCTTATTCAGTGCTGGTTTAGTCCTGGTTTAACCCTAGTTTAGCCCTGGTTTAGTCCTGGATTAACCCTGGTTTAGTCCTGGTTTAGTCATATGATCTGCATAGTCCTGATTTTGTTCTGTTTAAGTCCTGTTTTAGTTATAGTTCTGATCGACAGCTGCTTTAGTTCTGCGTTAGTCTCATAAATTCATCATTTCTGTCTTGGTTTAGTTCTAGCCCAGTGCTGGTTTAGTCCTGGTTTAGTCCTTGGTTTAGTCATATGATCCACACAGTCCTGATTTTGTTCTGTTTAAGTCCTGTTCCAGTTGTAGTTCTGATCGATAGCTGCTTTAGTTCTGCGTTAGTCTCATGAATCCATAATTTGAGTCTTGGTTTAGTTCTTGTTTAGTCCTGGTTTAGTCCTGGTTTAGTCGTAGTTTAGTCTTGCTTGACAGGTGCTTTAGTCCTGAGTCCCGGGTCAGCCTTGTTTAGACTACTTCATGACAGTTGCTGCACAGAAACACATATCACAGGCTCTAGTTGTCAGACAAAGTTTGACAAACACTGTAGTTGCACCACCGTACTAGAACAAGAACTAGTATTCGTAGTAACAGCAGTACTCACCTCTGTAGTCCAGATGATGGTTCTCAAGAGGCGGGGGGCTACCCGGGTCCAGCTCTGCCAGTCTGCGGCTGGTGGCACACAGCTCGGAGCGCAGGTTTGTCACTTCACGACTGGACGACTGGATGGCCCCGTCAATCCTCTGAGCCAGCTGCTTGTTGTCCTCCATCATTTTAAGTATTTTCCCCTGGAGAGCACATCCACACAGACCAGCAACATCGTGTCAGCATCCACCAGCGTAAACTCCACCTGCGCGTTCAGCCCACTACTTTTACTTCACTTCAAACATAACAAGCACTAAAAGCTAAAATCCTCTGCTTCTAGTAGTTACGGAACGCCGGATAGAGCATCGGAAAGACGGAGGAGGGAGAGAAAGAAGAAGAAGAGAGGAGGAGGAGGTGGAGGAGATTTTAGCGGCAAAGCAAAGAGACAGAGTGGGAGAGCGCGTTGTGTAGCAGCTGCTCTTCCACAGGACCAGCACATAGTGAGATGACATGCAGCCTTTGAACGGACTGTACCATGTGGTGTAAGGGAGGGGGGGAGGGACACTTTGCAACTCTGCAAATAGCGTCACAACTATCCCAACTTATAAAGAATGTCACATGTCGTTGCCTTTGCAGTGGTGTTCACAGTTTACTTAACGGAGGAACAAAGTTGAAGTAAATTTAAGATGTTTTTACAAGTTTTGAGGACATTTTTGGTCACTCACAAGTCCGTGTTCCACAGTCCCTTTGACGAGCAGTTGTCAAGCCCCTCTCATGTTTTCACTAGCCCACTCTCTCACTCCCCCGCTGGCTTTTGTCTCACTCCGGCCCCCTTCATTCACTCCATTCTGCACCCCAGCCCGGCTTTGTCCTGGGAACGCTCACCCCCACAGCGCTCCAGGAGGGAGGGGGCCGGACAAAAACAGCGAAAAGAGGGGAAAACATTTGAGTAAACTTTCTCTTCAAAAGAAACAGGGGGCATGTTGGACAGGAATGTTACGTTAAGTTTTATAGTTTTTTTCCTTTTTCGATTATTTGTACTTTTGCCTCAGTAATACTACCATCAGTACATACATTTGAGTAAAACTTTTGAAAACTCCATTCACGAGTAAGTGTATCACATGTGTCACATTTCTGTTAGGTTAGTTAAACTGTATCATATTGATTTAAAGATGCAGTATGTAACTTTCCCAATAGAGATTTTAATGTGTTTCCTAGAATGTTCTGCAGTATGATATTCGTAGCTATTTTACATTTATACCATTACAGATGTTTTTATAGCTAAGAAAGAACATACATTCTTACTGATCAGACCTGTTGCTTGGCTTGGCTGATAGACAAGTTTTATGTGGTACAGTGGAACATTCCAGGCAATTCAATCATATCTGCATGGAGACATACAAGTGGCAGACCCTTTACCAGAAAAGTTACATAGTGTACCTTTAAATACCAGAATTTGTATAACGTTTTTTTTTTTTTTTTTTTTTCTGACAGATTTCAAAGAAGTATGTTCAAAAAGTTTCTGCTTGTAGATTCATTAACTGCCACTGCTACCACTGCCACTGCTACTACTACTACAACTACTATCTAATATTACTACCTACTATTAACTACTGTTACAACTATTACATCTACTACTTCTACTGATACTACTATTACTAACTTCTACTACTACTACTTCTAGTACTATGACTACTACTAGTATGACTACTACTACTACAACTACTACCACTACTACTACTACTACTATTACTACTATCTAATATTACTATCTACTATTACAACTACTTCTACGACTACTACTACTATTTCTACTTCTATTTCTACTACTACTATAACTTCTACTACTAATACTTCTAGTACTATGACTACTACTAGTACGGCTACTACTACGACTACTACCACTACTACTACTACTACTACTACTACTACTATCTAATATTACTATCTACTATTACAACTACTACTTCTACTACTACTACTACTATTTCTACTACTACTACTTTTACTACTATGACTACTACCACTACTACTACTACTATTACTACTACTATCTAATATTACTATCTACTATTAGAACTACTACTTCTACTACTACTACTACTACTACTATTTCTACTTCTATTTCTACTACTACTGTTACTTCTACTACTAGTACTATCTAATATTACTAATTACCTACCTATATTACCTACTATTAACTACTATTACAACTACTACTTCCACTACTATTACTATTATACTACTACACTACTACAACAACTACTACTACTACTACTTCTAGTTCTACTTCTATTTCTACTACTACTATTTCTACGTACTAACTTCTACTACTACAACTACTACTGTGTTACAATGACACAGACAGACTTACATTTTATGGTCCCTCCAGCCTATTTTAAAGTTCTGAACATACATAGAGAACAAGTACCATCACAATCCTCACACTCCCAAGTCTATCAGAAAGAGTCTAAAGGTTTTTATTGTTTATTTCGAAACTCCGTCGCACGCCTTATCGACGCAGCTTTCATCACAGCAAATGTTCCAAACCCAGAGAAAAGCATTCATTTCTGTTCAAAACAATCTGTGATAGTGCTGAGACATCACAACTTTAATCTGCATTTGACATTTCATTTTGCGCTGTTGAAATGGTCTCTTGTTTGTCAGTGGAGGGGCAGATGACGGGAGCATCACTCACACTGACAGCTCGTGCTCCTGATAACTGCTCAGGCTGATTCACATTCACTACACTGAGACAGGCCACAGACACAGAGGGAGACAAAAGACTCACCGTACAGGGAGGAAGAGGCTCCAAACTTATTTAGAACGTTAGTTTTTTATGGGAATGGTTTTGTGATGTTGAGATTTCGAGTGTCATCTGTTGCCAGTGCAAGCTTCAATAAATAAATCTACAACTTCTACATCTAAGCATAATGTTTTAATAAAGGTAATGGTGCACTATCTAACTGTTGTTAAATGTTATTGCTATGTTTGACCATACACAAGAGCCCTTGATGTTGTCATGTAAAATTACATGCCAGATCTGTGGAAAGTCGACCCTGTTCACAGCAAGAATGCATGTCTTTTAGTGATATAAACTCCTACAACTGAATAAATGTAAAATAGACCATTTTAATGCCACACTGTGATAGCCTGATTCATCAGCCGGTTTCACTTCGTAGAAACCGTCTGACCTCGCAGCATTAGAAATTGTTCGCTCGATGGTAGGTGGGTACTTTTTTAAAATTTAACCAATAGCTGTTATTTGGTCATGATGTATGTAATGTGCCGATAAAGGGGCTAATTGGTATATTAAACTTTTCCCAAATCCCGTAGGAAGAAGGGCAATAACGTCCTTCCCCTTGTTCCAAATTTAAATCCTTGATCTCAGGAATCCTTGCCAACACAGAATATATGGCTCTTCGCTGATTGGCTGGTGTCTGAACTTGCACTTCTGGGGTTTTTGTGAACCGTCTAGTGTATTGTGATTCCTGACTTAGTCGCTGGAGAGAATTGAATTTGAGTGGAGGCACTAGGTGGCGCCAGCCTGGCTAACATCTCTAACAAAATGATTACATCTCTCTGGAAACAAGCACGTAGCAGAGTCCCTATAGAAAACCTTTATAGTGCTCCTTTACAGATTCTAAAATTAAAGGTCTTGCATGTGCTTGAGTCCAAGGAGATTGATCTTATATTTATTCAATATACAGATGTTTTTATTGCTTAAAAATCCATTGGCAAGCATCCATACATACTGTGTGTTTAATACCATAAATGTCCAACATTCCAGTAACAATACAATAACAAAGCCCTAAAAATTCATATTTGTGCAGTGGTTGGTTCACCCACCGACCAGTGATTGCTTAAAGTTTATATTGTCATGTCCTTTGCCAAAACACTTCACCCATTTGAATTTATAACTAGACTCACTACTGTCATGACATTACCCACTACTACAACTACTACTTTTCATTCATTCAGCTCATTGCCAAGCTCTAGATCAATATGTTGATGTTTAACAGAGCGGTCATGTGATCAGATCATTATCAGCGTCTAGACACTCACTACACTGTCCTCATTTACAGCCATAGGGCTAATAGAGTTAACAGAGCTAATAGAAGCCAGGCTCCGTACAGAGCAGCGTACACACAGACTTTCCACTGGCCCTCCTGTGTCAGACTAATGCTAGTGTTTATAATTAGACCAGGACTTCCTTTAAACACTGCGTTCTTTGAGGCATGCCGCGCCAGGCCCGATACACAGCACTGAGGAATGCTGGGAAATGAATGCTTCTGGGGTGAAAGGTCAGGGCATGTCCCAGATATACATCAATAACCCAAGCAACACGGGGTGCAGAAATGCGGCGTGTCACAGACTGATAAAGGACTTTGTGTCGGTCATTTTAAACACAGTGGTAAACATATGATTGAGACACAGAGCAGGTCTTAAAGGGGCACTGTGTAACTTTTCTGGTCTTAAAGGGGCACTGTGTAACTTTTCTGGTGGGAATGTGACACCTGCTTGTTTCATGGAGATGTTCAGCAGTATGGCATCTTGTGGTATCTTGCATTTGTTTGATTGCAGGTGTTGGTATTGCTACAAAAAATAAATAAATGAAATGCAAAGTTACCTCTCAGATCCAATTTACAAGGAGACAAACAAAATGACTGTTATAGTGTGGGACATTCCATTTTATCCTAACATGGTTTAAAGCTCACAAGAGTCAATTTTATGTAATAGGATCTTTAAACTAAGTTGTGTTGTCATGTGCACCCAACCTTGTCACTTGCCATGTTACCACTTATGATCTAAAACTTTTCCCACATAATGAAAACCTACATCCTGACACAGCACATTTAGCTCTTCCTCTCTTCTCTCTCTCTTCTCTCCCTCCGTGGTCTCCCTCTGTTACTCTTGCTTGCAGTAGTTGCTCTGTTTGGTGCAGTTAATGGGAGCTTTAATTAACTGTGTGGAGCCGTAGAGTTAAAGAGGTTCATTGATAAACAGCCACTCCCTCTGTCTGCGCGGGGTAATGGGGTATTGACTTCAGGCTCAGTTTTTTTTCTGCAAAACTAATGAGAAACAATGAAACTTCATCTTTTTATACAAGTGGAATCATAGGTCTATTGACTCAGTGTTCACTACGCAGTTTGTGATCAATATAGTCTAGATTTTGAACTTGAAAACTGTAGAAGAATATTAA